TGACTTCTTATATTTGCATCAACAGCCTGTTTTCTTATTTAGTTTGAAAATTAAAGGTGAGCTACCAAGAGTCATCTTGAAATGTATCAATGCAGACCGACTGTTGTAGGTCAATGAAGCCCTATTTATTTGATTAAAGCACTTTGTGAGAATTATTTGTGCGTATCTGTGCTGATATCAGAATCTTGTTCTTATTTTAAAAGGCATCTACAAAAGTTGTTAACATCAGATGTGGATCCAAATGTATATTTGTCCGGCAGTGGCTCAGTCAGTAGGGGCTTGGACTGTGAGCCGTAGGGTCGCTGGTTCAATTCCCTGACCGGACCTAAATATGGAGTGTGGACTGCTACTTGGAAAGGTCCCAGTTCACCTCCTGCCCTGCCGTGGTGCCCTTGAGCAAGGCACCGGACATCCCCCTTCACCCCCCACTCCCATTGCTCCCCGGGCGCTGTACAATAGCATGCTCACTGCTCCTAGTACTAGACTCCTGGTACTAGGATGGGTTAAATGCAGAGAACACATGTCACTGTGTGCTGTGTGCTCTGCATGTGTGACCATTAAAGAGGGGTTCATCCCTCCAATTCTATTCTATTTTGTGAAGTAAAGTCCATCAGAAAATATACTAAGTAAAGGTGTCATCCTAGCAGCCATTTTGGGGGAAAAGCTATTAAAAACTATTGTCACCATTCAAGTGTTTTTTTGTTCACTCTTCTCAAGAAAATACATTTTAGGGGGGTCCATTAGTTTATAAACATACAAGTGGAGCATAAAGGGATTCCAAGCATTAGTTTTGTCTCAAAGAAATAAAAAAAACAGAAATGTTTTATGAGCTTTTACTTCTCACATTGAACTCTTCAAGAAAAGACAATACCAGTGAAATAGTTTCTTCTCCTGTCACATTATTGACCAATGGTGTGTTCAGTGCAGTGTGAATTCATTTCAGCTGCTACCCACCCTGTGTACTGGTGCCTTGACAAACTAAATACATCATGCTGAAAACTACATGTCTGGAGGGTTATGGAGTGTTCGTCTGTTGGAGTTGAAGAGGGTTAAATATTGGGTTAGTTTTACACAACTTCTTGTAGCTGTCCTTTGTGAAGCTCCCAGTGAAATGAATGGGCGGAGACTTATTACGGGGATAATAGGGGAAAGCCTCAGAGACATGCCAATATTTCCATTCAATCCGATTTACAACTGGAACTTCTTTGTGCATCTGCTAAATGATTGACTGTTTGTCAATGCAACAGATTGTCACTATCTGCAATGTTATATTTTTTTTAAATGATGGGAGCCTATACAAACTCACTTTCCATTGAAGGTAAGAGAATCAACATGTTCCTTGTTAATCCTCCTTATCCTATCAATATAATGAAGTGAAGATTGGAGCATCGTGTCCAGAAACCGCTCAGAAGAACAAGAGATGGAGATAAAAAGCAACTCTACTGATACGCCAATAGGAAAGAAGCCACAGTCCCAAATTTATAACAGTGATCGGATTACATGATAATGATAATGATCAAGGCCGCCCACCTCCCACACACTGTCTGCTTTCCCCGTCTGTTGTACTCTTTTCTCTCTTTTTAGAGCCTGTTGAGCCAATCATCTAGGGGTGTGTGTGTGTGTGTGCTGCTGACTGAGACAAAGGAAGGGATGCAATGTGTGTGTGTGTGTGTGTGTGTGTGAGGTCCTTATTATAATAGCCTGTATGCGCAGGCAGGTTCACTGACGTCAGGGCTAAGCAGCAGTATCTGATGGAGAAAAGGGTGGTGGGGGCCATTCATAAATATGAAGGCTTAAAGGTCGTGTGTGTGTGTGTGTGTGTGTGTGTGTGTGTGTGTGTGTGTGTGTGTGTGTGTGTCTACCCTGCATGAGTCACATCTATATTTTTCCATAAGAGGGAACTGAGCACACAACTATATTAAGTATTTTTCTGTAATAAATAACAATATTTTATGATAAATTATTTAAAGGACTCATAACATTCATTCAGCATCCATTATCCCTAATAAGGATGAATGAGAATCCAGCAGCATTTCATAAGCCCTGCAGTGACACTCTCTTACTCTGTGTATTTTGAGCTTTTTGGTTAGGCTTAATTTTAACAGACAATATTTGTATAGTAAGGATGTATAAAAATAATGGTTAAAAGACAATGTGCCATTATAAAAAAGAGTAATAATTTAAATTCACTTTGGAAAATTATTATCAGAAATGTTAAAAGGCTTAATGGTATATTTTAGAATATTGTTCAGCTGTCTGCGTACATTTAATATGTTGGTTCACTCCTATCACAGCATTGTTTTTGGGCCATGGCAGGAATCTACATGCTACCTGCTCAGCACCAAACAGACAGACTGACTAACTGGTGAACATTGTGCAGTACTTAACTGCTAAAGAGGCAGATATTTCCCTCAGGAGTTGGAAGAGACTGAAAACAGAGCTAAAGGAGAATGAATATTGGATTTACATTCGTCAGGTGGACAGAAACACGATTGCTGAAAAACCGAAAGTCACTTTGGGTGCTTTGTAACCCGTTTCTACTTGTGCTCAATTCACCTTAAACGTGAACATGTGTCATTATTCTGTTATGATTACTAGAGAAAGTACAACTTTTTATGTTCTGCATGAAAAAAAAGTCTCAATACTCAAGATTGTATTCTTAGAGTGGGCCACATACCGAAACATAAGGGCTAGGTCACTCACTATGTGAGGTAAAATACCTCATATGTTAAGTTAAGTTATAAGTTAGCAAAACCAATCAAATGTACAGCCCACAGCCTACATCACAGCTTCCATTTACAGGGTTTCATTATTTTCTTTTTGGCGGCCCATCCCTTAAAACAGAAGTCTCAGATTGCTTCTCAGTCTTCCTTCACAGCCCTGTATTAAGGAGGGAAATAGGATGGGTATATTTAAAGATTGTTATGCAAATAACTTATTGGGTTTTTTTTTAGGAAATGTTTTCAACTTTGATTGTCCTAATTTATTGAAGAATTACACAATATGAATACTGTGTAATATAATTTAATATATATTCAAGAAGAACATTATTACTGAAGCACAAGTTTCAGGTGTGGGCTAGAGGTAAAGATAGCTGGGAACCTTTGCTGCACCTTGGCTTTCTCCCTTGCTGCCTATTATTTATTGACTATCTATATCGAGGAGGGCAATGCAGAACAAAATAATAATAATAAAAATAATGGGTCCTTTGTAGATCATTCAGACACTCCAGCAGACATTGAATAACCAAAATAACAACTCTCAAAAGGGAAAGTATTCACAAAAAACGTTACTATAATGTTATTTTGAAAATGATGTGTGCCCACTGTTACTGCTGAAGTGCCCTTGAGCAAGGAGCAAGTCACTGCACCCCAGGGTCCTCACATGGTGAAGCCCTTAATGTGACAGTCCTCTGATGTGAGACCTGGAGGTCTACAGGCTGTGTGTGTGTGTGTGTGTGTGTGTGTGTGTGTGTGTGTGTGTGTGTGTGTGTGTGTGTGTGTGTGTGTGTGTGTGTGTGTGTGTGTGTGTGTGTGTGTGTGTGTGTGTGTGTGTTATGCTGGTAGACAAACTGTAATTGCTAAATTGGTCAGTTACATAATCTTCTGTTCTTTTTATTGTTGTTGTTTTCAGCCTCCAGGTCATCATTACCATGTTTTACTACTTCCTGGTTGGCCTCCTTGATCTGGCTAGAACTGCAGAGGGCTCAGTTCAACTCTTCATTATAACGTATGTACAGCTTATGGAATTGCTGAGCAGTACAATATCACAGGATTTAGCTTTAAAAATACCACCCTTGTGTAGGCCTATTTACAAAACTCAAGCAGTGTTCATGTCCATACTAGATATTCTCTTTTAATATTACCTATACAAATATTGACCCAGCATCTGTCAGCCAAAGACCTTAATAGCCAATCATGCTCTAAAAAGTATAATTTTCCAATATAATTCTTTAAAAAACCTCCACAACTCTAGCATGAATTCGCAACCTCCAATTTAAAGTGAATGCGTTCAACAAAAAAAAATGTTTTGATTGATTTCTATGCACTCTCTAGGTTAGTAATAGGCACCTGTTGAGCGGTGACAGAGCCATCAAGCTCGAGCATATTAGCAAGCGTTGTGCTGATGACTGTTTTCAGCACCATGGACAGCACGTCCTCACAAAAAAGAATTAATAAGGGGGGGAAAAGAGAGACCTTATGGCAGATAGAGGAAGAGAGAGCTGGTCATGTCATTAGGGATTAGCCCAGTTCCACAGCTTGAGGCTTTCAGTGTCTGAGTGCTCTTGTTTTCACGTACGCAAACACACACAGATGCGTACAGAAGCACAGTATACTAAAACACTGTTTGTTTGATAGATAGATAGATAGATAGATAAGATAGATAGATAGATAGATAGATAGAGAGAGAGAGAGAGAGAGAGAGAGAGAGAGAGAGAGAGAGAGAGAGAGAGAGAGAGAGAGAGAGAGAGAGAGAGAGAGAGAGATGAGACAGAGTGTGTTTATTCAAGCTAAATAAAAGTCTATTGTTTTCTGTGTAAAGAAAAACACATGAATCTACTATTGTTCAAAATGTATATATAGACCCAATCATATTTTCCAAATGTGTTCATATAGATTCATGTTGTAGTTGCAGCTGATTTTGCCACACTGTACTGTATGTCGTCATGCCAATAAAGCTATTTGAATTTGAAGATAGATATAGATGGATAGATGGATAGATGGGATTTCCTCCATTCAGCCTTTTGCAAAAAACACGTGAATGTTAAGTATAGACTGTTTATCCTATGATAATTTATACTATATTACTATATATCCTTTAGAATATATTATTAGGACAGACAAGGCAACACAACTCTATACCTCTCCACTTCTAGAGCCTTGAACGTCTATCTCTCTCATCTCCAGTCCAACAACAACTTTCACCATCTTTGTTCCTCTCCTCTCCCTCGGACACACCTACACATACACCAAAAAAGCAATAACTGCTCATGCTCTCACCTGCAGAAACACTTTATTAAACGTCCCACCCTGTGTCAGTGGGTCCCAGCCGCCCCTCTGTCTCTTCCTGTACTCTGGTCGACCCTCCAAACGCAGCCTGCTGCAGCTCTTGTCCGCTGGGAGAAGCGACAACACCCGCCCTAAACTCTCCCTTTCCTTTCTCTTTTCTCACGCAAAGACGCCCATCGCTAAGGTGAGCTGCGCATACAGGAAGAGACCGACATTTCCGTCAACTCCGCGGACTCACTAAACCTCTACGAGGACGCTGCGTTATGCGCCATGTCACACAAAAAAAAAAACTGCACAAATGTAGACAACAAAAAGGGGGAGGAGGAGGTGAAGTGAGAGGGAGACACTGACAGTGATATGATGTAGTTTGAGATAACGATGGGATAGAGAAAAGTGGAGGAAAAACACTCACTGTGGCGGGATTAAAGGATGCCCATGTCGGATGCTGCAGTCGGTCACCAGCATCAGCATCTCCGGGCTGCGCGGTGCATCAGCGCGAGGGAGGGAGGCGGAGGAGAGGGAGGGTGAGGCCGATGATGTAAAAAGCTTTAAATCATTCAGGAGCCCGCTGCACGACATGTGACCGCCGACACGGTGTATTATTCACCCGGTTTGTTTCCTGTTCTGCCCTCGACCGAGGAGACACCGAGGTGACCGGACGTCGTTGTTCCAGTCCGCCCTCGTGAGCACTATGACACGAGGATTATCGCCACAATGTGCCCACTATATCCCTATTATGTTCTTTACGTCATGGTACATCATACTTACTTCGGACTTTATACTGAAGTTGTACTGGTTTAATTCAGTTTTTGTATCGCTTTATTTTTCCATGTTGTTTTACCCCTCTAACAATAAATTAAATAAAAGTGTGTCAATGGGTGATTCATTTTGTATAGGCTATTCTTATTTACTAAAAGTGTTTTTGATATCTATGCCATTTAGTCAAAGAACACAACAAACGTTTTTATTGTAAAGCATTAATTGAGCCAAATTGATATAAGGTAGGATTATTTGTATAAAGATTTTTAAAGGTTTATTATGTATTTGCTAAACAGTGATGGCACATATCCAATCACCCCCAGTTCACTTAATTGTTTGTTGTTAATACACACATGTGCATCTATGTCAAATACCTTGTGGTTTGTCTTCAGTCTCTTAAGCAAGGTGAGAGGTGAACCACAACACTCTTAACGTGTCACTTTAAGTGTTATTCTGCCACCTCACAATGTAATTTTCCTTGTAATTGCTTTACAGTGATACAGGAGATCAATATATGTGGCCCACAGAGAGCTGCAGATACAAATGATCCCCACCACTGCAAAGTTGATGGTATAGGTCACACTGTCAAAAATAATTACGTGAGCTTTAAACGACTATTGGACGTTTTCCAGGCATGTGACCTTTTCTATGGATTAAATTACTTTAGAGGGGCCTTTAAGCAACATTGGGGATTAATATCCTGTGAAGAAACGCTTCCCTACTGTCCAACATTCCTTTCCAAGGACAGAGGCAGTGAGAGTCACGTAAAGGCCTGCTGATGAATTATTAAACATGGTGTCTGATCAAATATTCAGCAGGTGGCTGTGTTATTTGCCATAGATAGTATTTATGCAGCTGAATTGCTTATAAATTGTGCGTGTGTGTGTGTGTGTGTTTGAAACCTCTTTCCTTCGTATGTCCATTGCAGCAGCACTGTTGCTCGTGGCAGCCATCTTGGTTGCTCTTGAGAAATTAAACAAATAAAATATGAGAAAGCAACCATCCACAACTAACGGGAGCCTATTCGAATGTCTCTTACAAAATCAATTGAACATGACTAAAACGCAGAATGAGGCATTAACTGACTTGTCACTAGGCCTCTTATCCGATCAGCAAGTATCAATCATAGCTTAGCAGCTGCCACAGCTTTGGATTTGTCCACATGCTGAAGTGGTGTGTGTGGCGCTGTAATAAGAGAAAAACACATCGTATAAAAGAAATTGGATGCTGGTGTCTTGTTTTGACAAAAACAGAAAAGCTAGCAAAAGTGTAAGGAATGGGTATTAAACAGTAAGTTTATCAGTTCCAATGTAAACTCCTATTGTTGTTAGCATCTCTGGCTAACTAGCTTACTATCTGCAGCAATAGAGCTCATACCCAGCTAGCTACATTATTTGGGGAAAAAGGTTGTGGTAAAAAAGTTGGGAGTAATGGTTTTGTAAATTCAGTTTACTAAATGTACTGCATTTTTCTTACACAAGGAAGGAATGTTAAATACAAATTCTGTTGTTAAATGCATAGGAAGATTGGAATTCTTGACAGACTGAGGGTTTGGAGGTAAGCAAATGGCTAATAGACAATTAATTCGTTAATTGAGTTTAACTAACATGATAATAATTCAATTTGTTGCAGCCGTAAACTATCAAGGAAGTTCAGTTTGTACGTTGAAAACACAAGTACACCTTTCACTTGTTACGCACTCTGTGTTACGCTGGCTTGTATGATACCATCATGGCTGCATCATTGTTTTTCCCAGCTCACACTCACCGCTTTCTCTTCCACCTCTAAATGTCAGCTTCCCCGCAGTCCAGCGGCTGTGTGAGTGTGGGAGTTTATGCGAGAGTGTGTGTGTGTGTGTCTGAGAGATGAGTCACTATCACTGTGCCCTAAGCAGAGAGACAACTATGAGACCTGAGGGACACTACCCATAATTCACCACTGTCTGATGAGGTCAATGGGCTACAGGGCAGGAGTGACCCATCATATCTGTCAGATCTGAACCTGCAAGAATACACACACACACATTGAGACACACACATACACACACCAACTCTCTCTGCTTCCTCATATGTCAGACTAGAGTGGGGTCAATACCTCTCCCACATGTGTAAATGAGGTTTAACCACAATGCACTGGCTCTTATCAGTTGATGGATGTGGTCTGTGTGCACATTTAGGGCATCTGAAAAAGACAATCTTCTGCTACACTTTTCCCTTTTGCAAGAATGAATGTAATAGATTTATTGAATATCACATTTCCAGTCTGTAACTAACCTACCTGCTCATACATTATGATAATAAATGCTTCATATTCACACACTATCAAAACTCTATATCCAGCTCGATAGTCTCTCCTCCATCCACGTCAGCCTCCTCGGCGCCGCTCTAACAGGCATTTATTATTCAACACATTCTCCAGAAGAAGCCTCCCTCCATTTCTGCTACTCTCTCTGACACATGGGTGGTAGAGGTGGATGAAGAGGGAAGAACAAAGGAGAGAGGGTGGGCTGCAACAGACGTCCCAAAATATTTGAAACAGTCCTGAATCCCGAATCCTGTCTGTCCCAACATTTGACCAAACCCAAGTTTTTATATTAGCCTAATCAATTATTTGATTAAAGGTGGGGTAGGTAAGTTTGAGAAACCGGCTCGAGATACACTTTTTGTTATATTCCATGGAATGCTCTTAACATCCCGATAGCAATGAATATCTTAAGTGCTTTGACAAAAAATCCATAACAAAAAGTCATCTGTGGAAGCCGTAGTACTGTAAAAAGCACGACCAATCATCTGAGCCGGCCCGGCTAAAATAACTGGATGGCCTACCTGCCTGTCAGCCTTCCATCTGTGCACAAACTTATCTCGTGCCCTCATTGGTCATGTGCGCGTTCGTGTGTGTTGGAGGAGGGGCTCTGTAAGGAAGTCTGAAGGAAGTGGCAGATTCTAGCGCACTCAAACTGGTTTCTACATTCATACCCTACCTTTAAGATGGGCACACTGTTATGTCAGTAGCCCAAACAAATGATGGTTGTTGTAATGGTTTTTAGCCTCTTCGTGCAGTGCAAATAGATAAAACTATAGTGGCGACTTGACATTGTTGAATTTCTATGTTTACAAAAGGAAATTAAACTGCAGCTTTGATGGAGCAGTGTCGAATCCTTACTACACGTACCAGGAGTAGTTGGGATGGAAATACCCAGTATATAAAGGGGGCAATACATACAAAAAGAGAGTGTGTTGGCAAACAGGGAAAGATTGAGCAGGATATTGTTGGTGTTTTTTCTATTTTGAACAGATTAATTGTGTAGCCACTTTAAGGACAATCCGGAAAGAAATGGACTCTTTCTTTCTTGGAATTCGTTCTATAGAGGCAGCAGTGGCTCAGTCTGTAGGGACTTGGTCTTGGAACCGAAGGGTCGCCGGTTCACGTCCCGGGGGCCTCTCATATGACGCACACCTGCACACTTGCTAGCCTGTTCCACTCTTTGTTTTCCGAATGCCAGGAAGTATTCTTGACTCGCTTCTGAAGCAAGTGACTCGGAGGACATGTGCTACCAAGCAAGTACTCGAGATTGAGAAACACCCCCAGTGAGCTGGTAGCTGGAGAGGTGCCAGTTCACCTCCAAGGCCACTGCCGAGGTGCCCTTGAGCAAGGCACCTAACCTTGAAACTGCTCCCTTGGCGCCGGGTACCTGGCAGCCTCTCTGCTCTGTCACCTCTCCTACTGTATCTGCACATGGTTGTGTGTGTGCATGTATATCCTCTGTGTTTGTGCATGTATATCCTCCCCTGTGTGTGTAATGTGTGTAAACACAACAGAGTGGGGAAAGACATTTCCCTGTAAGGGATTAATAAAGTGTATCTTCTTCTTTTTCTATACTCTGCTGGACTTGATTTAGAAAATGATATACTACATCAACAAGTAGTGTTAAAGATATTCAATCAATTATTAGCAAATGTACAAATAAAGGCCCAGGCACACCAGGCAGATATCGGCCGTCTTCGGTTGTCTGGCGACAAAGCGTGCCCTGTCGCCCAAAGTCAATTTGGTGTGTCCCGAACCCTCGGCCGTGACACGCCTTACTTGGCCTTTCACGGTCGACACATGGCCGATTCAACATGTTGAATCGGCCATTTGTCGGACACAAGCTATCGGGCCAAGAAACCACTCTGACCAGCTGTTCAGCTAGCAAATGAGAAGCGAAACGGAAGTGAGGGACGTAAACAAACGATTTAAGAAGGCACAGGACAGCAGCTAAACCCCAGCAGGTGATACTTAAAGACATCAAACATAGCCCTTAAATGTCCTCTCTTACCTCCCACACATA